TATATCAAAGGAAAACCCTCTTTCAGTTTAAAGCCATTACCCCTTGTCCTGTCACTCCATGTCCTTGTAAAAAGTCCCTCTCCAGCTTTCTTGTCAGCCCGCTTGAGGTACTGGAAGGCAGCAATAAGGTCTCCCCAGAGCCTTCTTTTCTCTGGGCTGAACAACCCCAACTCTCTCTGTCTTTTAGACTATTGATACTACGTAAAAATAGAGTTTTGGAAACAGTCAGCCATGTAGTATTGTCCCAGGAAGAGTCTGGGGAGGATCTGACTGGTCCAACTTTTTAATTGCCAAGTTTTCACCCAACTCTTCTCATGGAAAGGGGTTTATACAGACAGCCTTCAAACATACAGGAGAAAAAGGTAACAAATTAAGCATGTGCCATCCAAAAGCTGTTTTGTGTCAGGATTGAATTAAAAAAAAAAAAAAAGGATAGCCCTATGTTCAGAGTGGAGGTAATTTTATTTTTAAAATAATTTTGTAACTCTGCAACATCCAGCCTTGTCTGCTAAAGCAACACGTAGTAAGTGCAAGAAAAGCAAAAGGGTTTTATGAAACATGCTAGAGATGTAACCACAGCCTAAAGTCTTTAGCACTGAAAATACCTCTCTTCAGATCGCCTTTGCATTATCATTGCAGTATCACTGTGAGACAGCTATAATTGCCAGTCTATAAGATAAGAGCAACAGGGCTTTGCAAAATATCTGCAAGAAATAGCATTCACCTGCATCTTGCTAGCAATGTGGCATTTAATCTAAGACAGCCTTTCCAACTTGTTTTACAATGGCGTAAAAATACTCCTTGAAACACCTGGCTCCAGAGGGAATTTTCAAAAAGAGTGGCATTTACCATGCCTACAAGTTAGCAGAAAGTCTGTACACAAGTAAGCAGTAAGAACTGTCTGAATGGCAGAGCTCAGAGGGTTGTCATCAGCAGCACTGAGTCTAGTTGGAGGCCTGTAACTAGTGGTGTCCCCCAGGGGTCAGTACTGGGCCCAGTCTTGTTCAACTTATTCATCAATGACCTGGATGAAGAGTTAGACTGTACCCTCAGCAAGTTTGCTGATGATACAAAACTGGGAGGTGTGGTAGATACACCAGAAGGCTGTGCTGCCATTCAGCGTGACCTGGACAGGCTGGAAAGCTGGGCAGAGAGGAACTTG